GTTGGTGGGGAGAGGGGGTGAACGAAGAGATGCCAGTGCGGAGGAGGGTAGTAAGGGAATTGCGCTGAAAGGAGTGTGGGCTGGGATTAGCGAAGATGGTGGTAGAGAGGGAGGGAACTTGAAAGGAGTAGTAGAACGGGAGGAGGATGTGAGCGGGAAAGCGGCAACGGTAGGGAAGGGGGGAGGGACAAGGCTGAAATTGAGGCTGCCAGAGCCGGAGGAGGTGAGTATATCCCGACCCGCATCAGAGTCAATTATTTGGGATAAGAAGCGAGAAATCTCTGGAGAGGGTTGGTACTCAAGCCGGGAAGCAGCCAAACCAAAGAGAGTTGCCTTGACCACCCAACCTTCGCCCAGACCGAAACTTGTGGATGGGGTGCGGAGGGTGGCTCGTCTCAGAGATGATATGCAATTGGATGAGCGAAGAAATAATCACAGAGGTGGGGGGGGGGAGGAAGGCGCAGAGAGAGACCATGGATTTGCTGCGGTTGCACGACTGAAGGAGTTGAAAAGTGGGTCTCCCAAGAGGGGGGGGAGGGGGGGTAAATGGAGAGAGGATACAGAGAAAGATGCAGATGCAGATGCTCGAGAATATAAGGCGCTGAGGACGGTTACTGCCAGGAAGGATTTCATTGCTCTAGGACTTGGGAGTGGCCCCGGAGGGAAAGAAGGCAGGAGTGCCCGCGTGCAAGCGGCAGCACTCCCTTGGACTCGCTTCTTCTTCCCTGCAGACGACCTTGGGAGCACTCCCTCCCTTCGTACACAGTACTTCGATGTGTACATTGACGATGAGGATGAGAATGAGAATGAGAGGCGGCGAGGACCGGGGGACATTGGATCGGAGTCACGGAGTTCAGTGGCTGTGTCAGCGGACTGGGGGGACACAATGATCGCCCCAGAAATCGCTGTGATGAGGGAGATGGAGAGCCTCCGGGAACAGAACCTTAGACTGAGCTACCTGAGGTGCCCAGGATTGCCACCCATATTGAAGTCCATGGGAGATGCTATGGCCCAAAGGGGTGTAGAGAGACGCAGCGATGAAAGGGGCGCCTTAATTGAGGCCCTGCCAAAACAGGATATAACAGCTTTTGCTCGATGGGTAACGAGGCTGAGGCCTGCGCTAACTGCAGGAGCGACAGTTCAAAACCTCTTGCCGCTGTTGACCCTTTCACAAGGCCTTCTAAGGGAAGTTGTGCAGCAGAGAATGGACTTCTACCTGCAGCAGGTTGAGGAGGAGAGGAGGATGTACAAGGAGAGAGAGTTCGCACTCAAAGTGGAGCTGGAAGTGGCTAAGAAGAGGTAAGTTATGCATGGCGGGGCCCTGCATGCATGCAGTTGAGCATCAGCTGTGTCTCCTTCCGTGTGGCCTACAACCCCACTTCCCACTTCTCCCCTTTTTACTTTCCTGGGATTCTCACCTTTGGCAGTCCTCCTTCCTTATCCCCAGTATCTCTTCCCATCCCTCCCTCTCCTCAAGTCCCCACCCGCCTTTGCTCTTTTCTCATCTCTGCCTCTTCCCGTTCTCCTGTCTATCCCCTTCCCAACCTTTCTCATTTTTCTCCCCTCTGCGGCATCTGCGCTCAATTGTCCTTTCTTTTCTCATCTTCACCTTCTCCCTTGCGTTCTCACTCTCTTTTCCCCTCTCTCTCTCTCTCTCTCTCTCTCTCTCTCTCTCTCTCTCTCTCTCTCTCTCTC